ATTAATATTTTCCGACACACAAACACGCAGAAATCGCTGCAACAAACACGAGATGTGGTTTATTGCAAAAAAGAACTCTCTGTTGTCACCTGACCGAACACCAATCATTTTACACAATGTTTTAATAAATTTTGAAGTATTGGGGTCCATGGGTCCAAGGACCTCGATACATATAGGCAAAAAATCTAAGGAAGGCAGGGCGTGTTCATATTTTTTAATTTTTTCGTCCGATGCCCTGATTGCAGCCAAACCACATTCTTTGCTGGTAAGGTGAACGTAGCGCTCGGCCAAGGTACCAGGAACCGTAACATCCCAAGCCAAACATTTACCGGATCTCCAGGGAATAAGAGTACAACCGTCTGGTCGCTTGCCATCTTGCACTGAAATGCCAGATGGTTCCTTCAAAACAGGAATAGAAGCTTTAGAAAAAAGCCGGCAAATGTAATCATTCAAAGCTGAATGACGAAGTTGACGGCCTCCACCTAAACGGCAAACCAAACCATGATGACCAAATTCGTCCGCCTCCGCGCCGCAACGACACTGATATTTATTTTGTATACTTAGGCCAAGTCTGAAACCAACGGCAAATCTAACAGACTCGTCATCGAGTCTGGTGCCTACGGAAGTGTTGGGCCACGACCTCAACCAACCACAACTAACATCACTAGTTGCAGCCAATAAGCGGGCGGAGGAAGAAGCACCGACACCAGAAGACAGAAGTTCATGAAAAGTCTTCTTATATTGCTCATCTAAAATTTGAGCTTGTGAAGGGCTTTCAGGTGTGGTCGGCAGTGGTGGGATGTCACAACAACAGCAAAATCGGCAAAGCAAGGCTGGAGGTCAAGGGTGGCAGCGGCAGAAGATTTATAGACGATTGGTGCCAACTGAACCACACTGAGTAACCCCAGACCACCATACCGCACGGGCAGCTGAGCCTGGGACCAGCCACTGTCAGTCAAATGAACATACGCAAAACATCATCAAATCTGCCCAACAACGATGGGTTAATGTAGCTGGATGTACGAAGAAAATACATCATTTTGGGCAAACTGAGGGCGCTTCGGACAATAGTCAGGGCGTCGTGGACGGAAAGATGAGACACTCGGTCGAGGGCGAACTTAAGTTCTGAAAACTTTTTATCAAAAAATTTAATTTGGGAGTCGCCCTCGAACAAGGGTGTGCCCAAAAAACTTAAATTTGATTTTTGAACAATGGGTACGTCCGCCAACACCGGTGGCAAATGTAGTGAATCTTTAAAATAGAGTTCACATTTATTGGTGTTTAACTCTAGCCCAATGGTGTTGGCTTTGTTTTTCAAAAATTCGTAGTTTTCCGCCAGTGTTTGGCTTTTTGAAGCAATGCTGATGTCGTCCAGGTAGCCACAAAAGAAAACGGACGACAGTTTTTCTAACAAGGTATGCAGGGTCAATGCAAATAGAAGAGGTCCCAGTGGATCACCCTGTTGCACGCCCTCGGACGATTCAACCACCCAGGTGTGATAGCCGGGCGAAGAAGCGAGGCCGTAAGCAGAATGGCAGAAATTATATATTCTGGGGCAGAAACATTTGACGGCCTCCAGTATTGAATCTCTTCTCATGGCGTTGAAGGCATTTTTAAAATCGATTTTTAGAAATCCCCATTGATTAGGGAGGTCTGTGACCAATTTTCGAACGGCGTGAACGGTGGCCTCAGCACCTCCTTTCACGCCAACGCCCAATTGAACCCGGTAAAATTTGGCTCTCATTTTATCCATTACCAGGTTCAAAGCACATTTGCTCGCCAATCTACGCCAACAGTTGCCAACAGCGATTGGCCTAACTCCTCCATCTTTTTTGTTCAAGGCTATCAGGCGGCCTCCTAAAAAAAACGGCAAACCGTCGAGACCCCCGGAC